ATAAAAGTTATGTAAATATGAAGGTGTATTGTTATCTCCAAGAGTTATATGAAGTTGAAATAACCTTTACAACATCCTTATGAGTCAAGTAGATAATCTTAGACCTATTTTTATAGATAAGAGAGTTTAAGCCCTTGCATTAAAGCCACTTAAATTTGGTATATGAGAAGAGATACAATTACTGGATTCAGACTCAGGCCAGTATTTGTTGATACCTGAAAGTATTTTAAAGGGCAGTTTTGCAAAACTCCCATTATCCGCTCAGCAGTTAATGAGAAGAGTCTGCATATTCTTCTCCCTCACTTTCTTTCTATGGTTCCTTGTGTAATTGATCTGAAATGCAAGACACCTTGTCTCAATGGTATCCAAGGGGAGCCAAGTATTTTGAGAGCTATTAAAAGACATTGTTCTAATGATGAAGAATATAATGTAATTTAGTGCAGCGGAAGCCAAGTTATCCACTAGCTATGGAGAGACCTAGGGAAAGGGGAAGACAGGAAACTGATGTGACAACTCCTATAACTGGTGCAGGAAGGTCATGTGTGTAGTGAATACACCACCGTCTTTAACATTAACCCCCACCACCACCAAATAAAAGCCAACGTAAACTGGAGAATACAAATTTCACCTTCAACCTAAACAACTTGTTTTCAAAACTGTTCAACATTACTAGAAATTATTCAAAGTGCTAAATGTAGTGCCTGACACAAAATAAATCACCAATAAACATTAGCTGTTATTAGTTGGATTGGGAGAAAAAGGAGTATTGCATAAAGTCAAGAACATACTAGGAATCAGATGCCTACACTGAAGCCTTCCTCTTTCACTAAATTGGTGTGTGACTGCATTGTTTGGAAAGGGATCTGTGAAGTGGGAACAATGATCATACTTAGCTGAGTTTTGTTTAAAATAATTAATTAAATAGTTAATTAAGTAATGAGCGGATACATGTTAAATCCTTAGCAAGTTTTCTGGCATGGGTACACATCTAATTGACAAAATGTTAATACTGGACATTGTGCAGCTGACGTTGCTTTACCCATGTGGCTCAGCCAGCCAAACATTATTCAGTGAGCCCTCCCAATGAGTCACAACTGAAGGAGGCACTGGGGAAAGAACAGATGAATGAGGGAGATGTGGTCCATACCTACGTGTAGATTTGTGGGGAGTTTTAGCAAAAAACACTCAAATGAAGTAATTGAAGACTACCATATATGTTAAGAAGCCAATAGGGGACTGACACAGAAAATGTAAAAGGAATTTTTTGTTGGGTAGGGAGTCAGAGAAAGTCTCTCCAAGGAAGTACATTTAAATACAGATATCAAAGAAGAGTCAGCCATGTGAAGTAGGCATGGTCATGGGATTCCAGGCAGCATATGCAAAACTGAATGAGTTGAAAAAAACTTGGCACATGGGAAGAAAGGATGCCCAGAATGGCTGGAGCATATGGGTGAGGGGAGAGAGAGCTGCCAAAAGTAGTTGAAGAACAGGCAGCACTCACCTCTTGCAGGCCTAATTGGCCATATAAGGATCCCATGGGGATTTTATTCTGTTTGCAATGGTAAGTCAGTGAAGAGTTTCAAATAATGGCAAGGAATAATATTTTTTTATCCATTTCAAAGACCACTTTTGCTGCTTGGCAGGGCAAGTCATCTGAACTTTTTTGATCATGCAATGCCAATTAGCACGTGGCTTCAAAATGTTCATATTCTTTTTCTGTCTCTCTGTATATAGTTAGATAGAAACATACATTTATATATGTTAATTCTTAATTAAATATTAACAAGGCTGTTTTCTTCCTGCACACAATGAATTATCTTATGGTACTATTTGGATACGTGTACCCCACTTCGGAGATGACTATTGCAGAGATAAGATGGAGCAGAGCATATCTTTCTTTTTTTTTTTTTTTTAAAGATTTTATTTATTCATGAGAGACAGAGAGAGAGAGAGAGAGAGGCAGGCAGAGGGAGAAGCCGGCTCCCCAAGGGGCAGGGAGCCCGATGCGGGACCCGATCCCAGGACCCTGGGATCATGACCTGAGCCAAAGGCAGATGCTTAACCATGTGAGCCACCCAGGCGCCCCGAGCATATCTTTCAATGTACAATGAAAAGACTCCTTATTGGAATTACAGATCTATGTTCTCTACTGACATTTGATAGCAACTATTTTCCTAATAACCCATTCTTAATGCAGTACATTAATACAATCTGTTGGGTTGCTTAGTGAGTTGTTGGATTGGAAATACCTTGAAATAGGCTAGCCCACTTTCCCCCATAATTAAGCCATTTCTTGAAGTCTTCCAGGAAAAGAAAATGGTTTAGGGAACTACTCGTACTTTCCTTTTCTGCTTGTTGACAAAGGATCAGAGACATAAGAAATAAAATGAATTTATAAAAAAAAAATTCTTGGAGCCAATTTCACCCACATCTGTGTAACCTGTTTCTCAAATGAATAATTACAATCAGGCATTTAAAAAACTCCTGCCCTCTATGAATTCTCAGCAAATGGACTGCAAATGATTTCATTTTAAAGGGATTATTGTAATGGGTCTGTTTTAAAAGATGGGAGTTATAAATTATTTGGGAAGGAAAAATCAGCTCTCTTTCTACCAATTCTTCAGGTGGAACTTCATTTTGAAATCAAAACCGCCTAAATTTTGGTAGGGCAATAATAGACTAAGACCAGAAAATTTGAATTCACTAATTTCTTTCTTTTTTCCATTTTGCATTTTCCAGTCCTATATTAGAATGGGAATTTATTCGGGTTCTGACTCTTTAACCTGGTTTTTCCTCTCTTGGAGGAAATCTCACACACTCATCCAGACTGGAAAGGAGGTTAGCAGGGGATAGAAAGAAGGCATAAGGCAAACAATCCCACAAAGCTCTGAAAACCTTTCTCAGGAGAGGAAAACAGTTGCCCTGGGTTTTAAGGAAGAGCACTTGCAGTTTTGGGAGGAGGGAGGACCTCTGGCTCTCCTCTCCATCTAGAAGCCTGCCAGACAATGTTCCTTTTTTAGGAGGATCCAGGCTTGGGTAGTTGAGGTGCTTTTGGAAGAACAGTCTGTGTCTCCCTTAAAAACAAACAGGTCACTCTTTGTCTTTAGTACTTACATTCAAAGGCTAAGGAGTCTGTTCCCTTGCATTTGCATATTTCTTGGATTGGACATAAGAACAAGAATTTAAATAATTGTTTGTGTAACACAGCTCTGGGTTGGATTGATATAAGAGAAATTCCTCTTGAACAGTATCAAAAAGGGTATCATTAATTGAAGAATAATCATCACTGCTACTTTTAAGTTGGTCCTATCACAAACTCACAATTTAGATTTTTCAGGAAGGTTACCTTTGCAAGTGTGAAAATGAACAAAAATGTAATTAGAAACTGAAGATTTGCATGGCATTCATTTGTTTAATCAGTAAATACGCTTTGAATAGTTTAATAGCTACCATGTGATAAGGAAGTGTTATTAGGCACATGAAGACTACAAAGAAATTTGAAGGTATTTCAACCCTTAGAAGCAAACTTTCCATTTGAAAAAGGCTTGGGTTTGGGAAAATTCTTTGTAATTTTCAAAGCCCATTCACCTACTATAAATCTTCATCTGAACTTTTGAACAGTAGCAGGGGAGCTGGGCTGGACAGACATTATAATCATACAATTATAGAATTTTAGGAGTGGAAGGAATTTTAAAGGTCATCTGATGCAACCGCTTAATTTTAAAGTGTAGGAAGCTGAGAGATTGCCACTTCGTCTGAGGCCCCACAGCAAACTAGGCTGTGGCAGAGCATCCAGCATAGCCTTGAAGTTTGCTGATAAGAATCTTCAGGTATGTGCTAGTAGCTCTAGGCTAGGCACAAAAGACATAGGATAAATAAAGCACCGTGCCTTTTTTCCTGTATCTATTTGCATACAGACGTAGAATAGACTCACAATACGTATGTATTCAATTAAAGACTGACAGATTTCCTACCGCGTAGGACACTGTGTCAAGCTGAGGATAAAAATGGCAAACAAAATAAACTGGCCACTTCTTCCAAGTTGCTCACAATTCCTGTCCTCAGTGAGTTTGTGGTCTCTTAGGGGAGCCAAGATACATGCCCACAAAATGCAGGAAGATTGAATTCAAATACAGTGAGCGCTTCAGGAAGTCCGGAAAGGAATCTAAGCGTAATAATTGATGAAAAAAATCCCCCCAGACCACACACACACACATACACACACGATCATTTAATTACATCATTCTCTGCTGTTGCCTTCCTGGGATCTCCCCCAGGCTGGGACACTCAGGCTCTGCTTAAGCTACGGTAAAGACGCCAACTCGCGGAGACGAAGGAGGGAAAGACCAGGAGCCCACCCAACCTTATCATCTAAACTGGAAGAGACGAGGAGGGGGTGGAGTGCGGGGGAGGAAACGGCAGTAGAGACTGACAGAAACAGTAAAATAGGAATAGGAAGTCCCCAACACAGCGAGCACTCCGCGAGCTCCGGCTGGCCGCCCCCACAGGAGGGAGAGCGGAGACCGCGGCCGCGGGGGCGCAGAGCGGGCGCCAGTAGCGCCCGCGAACCCAAGGGGAGGGCCGGCGACGCATCCAGTCCCCGCAGCCACCCGCGCGGCGCAGCTCGGCAGCGGGACGCGG